GATAATATTAATAATAGTATTAATAATAACAATAAGAATAATAATAATAGCAGAAAATAAAATAATAATAACAATAACAACAATAATAAAGGTTTGTTCATTGGGGCAATGCAAAGAGTACTGAACATGTGCAGGAATCTTTAGCAGCCAATCAGTTTGCTGAAGTCAGCTGTTTGTTAATTAGCTGCAATAGATTACGCAATGTTCCTTTGTAGAAGCACGGCTCTCCGCCACTTGCTGTATCTGAATATGGCTCACAAGCTGACATTTTGACATCCCTCACATCTACTCCCGGGAACATCTGCGCCTTAAACAAAATAGTCTCTTCCATAGACATGAATTGCTACTTAGGGTCTCAAGTCATATTCCCCTACGTCTCTCAGCCACCATTTATCTAGTACGAATCCCCCCCACATCCCAGGAGAGCAGCAAGCGCCTGGGGCGATCAATGCTGTCCCATGGTCACGCAGTGCTTTGACGTACCTCCATTGATCTCCATCTTCAGCATGAGGCAGACAAAATTCTCGAAATTGATTTTCAGAGAGGAGTTGCCGTATCGCAGCGCTATTAGGTTGTAGAATGGATGGCTTAATGTTATTCCTTTGGGCAGTAGGAGACAAAAATTAAAGTAAGAGAGTGCAAAGTCATAATACAAACATAAAAAGAGAAAACAATAATGTGACTGAGATGATCTACTTTATAACTATGTCTGCCACTTACTACGGACCTTCCATTGCTAAAGTAACCAATAGTAACGGTGAAGGTAACATATGCTGATACAGAAAACCTAAGTGTCTTGTATTCCTATGATTGCTAAAGAACAAGTCTCAACTCTGTCTGGAAATTCTGGAACCGGAGAAGAGGCGAGGATAACTCTGAATGTCATGTGACTGGACTGAAGTCTTCTGAAACAAGAGTGCTGGAATTGGGCTTTGAATGGAAACTATAATGGTTCTGGGTCAATTTAATTTAATTTATTATTCCGGCTTAAAGTAGTATTAAACTCAAACATTTTTTCAAAAACGATCAAACAAATATACATTGCCTGGCAAAGAATTTCTTTACATTTTTGCCCAGGCACTTACAATCGTCATGTTGCTGAATAGCTCTAACTCTTTCAGCTCTGCTTCCCTTAAATTCCTGTCCAGTACAAGATCTCAAGGGACAGAGCAGTCTCCAGCAGGAGTCCATCCAACGGCGTATCCACTGCAAGGCAAACAAGGCGTTTGCCTTGGGCGGCACTTTCCAGGGGGTGGGGCGACAAAAACGCCACCCCACAAACCAATGAGGTGAGCTGGGTTAGACAGAATCAGAAAAATTAGGGGTGGCCGCCTAATTAGAGAGCTGTCCGGTGGAGTAGGAGGCCGGCTGTCCGGGGTCTCAGGTGGGCTGTGCAAGATCTATTGTGGTCTTTCTGGTGGGCTGTGGGGGCTTTCAGGTGGGCTAATCGAGGTCTATGGTTGGCTCTGCTGGCTGAGACCTGAGACCCCGCTCAGCCACGTCCATCTACTTGATTGGAGAAGAGGAGCAGGGAGTGGATGGCTTGCCTTGCTCTATCTGTGTATTTGTGGAGACGCACACAACTTACTAGCACACACAAGGGTGGTTCCACAAGACCCTGCAAGGTAAAGGGCCACCCTAAAACAGGAATCAGGACCAGTGCTCAGTGGACCAGCTGATTCTGCAGAAAACTAAAACTTTTAAACATCAAAGAGCAGCATCCATTTTAAGTGATTTCATCAGCATTTGGTTTAAAAACCTTTTGACTTTAATATCACTGATGTTTATCATCTTCACATGAGGTCACCAATGGGAGCCCCCATATTTTTTCATGGTAAGTTTCCCTTACAGGCCTGACTGTCTACCTCCTAGACCACCAGCAAAAAGATAACAACCCTTCGCTTGAAGGAAACATAACCAATCCACAAGCAATCCGTTGTGTTTGACTTTCACCAAGGTGACGCGTAACAAATTTTACCTTTCTCTTGTACAGCAGCTTGGAGGTCACTGAGTTTCAGAAATCCCGATCTGTCAATGTCTCTCTTTTGGAAAATCTCCTATGGAAACAATAAGATTACAAGGTTAGAATTCTTTATTTTCCCCTCGGCTTTAAAAATAGAAATGTTTTATTCCGAGCGGCGAGCGGTTCTCATAAATCTCAATTTCAGTCTGAGCAAACAGAACATTATATAATGCATCTGGAAAGATTAGCTGGGATTGACCTTTTCGATGGCTGCGTGTTCTACAAGGGTAAACCTCGACTTCCTCTATTATCCGGAGAGCGAGGGGCAAAAGATAAAAGATTATTGATGTCACCAAACCCGGGGCGGGTATAGGTGCTCATTCAATACCGCCAGGACCTATTTATTGTATGATTGCATCATAAACACCGGTAGGTGTCAACGTTACCAAGGCTGTAAATATTCTACATGTATATTCTCAGCAATAGGCAGGCTGGCAGGGAATAATAATGTAAGTGGCTCTGCAGCGTCATTCTGTTTACTCAAAAATATCAGAAAAATTATTTTTTTCAGATAAATAAAAAAATATTATATTTATATTATATATATAGTAGATAGTCAGAGAGATAGATAGATAGATAGATAGATAGATAGATAGATAGATAGATAGATAGATAGATAGATAGATAGATAGATAGATAGATAGATAGATAGATAAAGAGAGAGAGAAAGAAATACTAGGGATGCACCGATACTAGAACCGGTATCAGTGCTGATACCGAGTACTCATACTCGTCCAAATGCCCCGATACCGTAACGTCCATCAGGGCCGCGAGGGAACATGGATTCTGCTTCCCGGCCAATCAGGAAACCAGGTCGCGGGTAATGAATCGCAGCCAGGAAGCCGGCTCTATGCTGATTATCTGGGAAGCCAGCTTCCCGGGCCAATCTGCATAGAGCCAGTCAAACAGCATAGAGGCGGCTTCCCGGGCCAATGAGGTAGCCGGGCAGCAGTTAAAAACCCTCCACCTGGCTTCCTGGTGGAGGGTTTTGGCCGGTAATGACAAGCTGTCCGGCGTCCTGAATACCTGGGAAGACGGCTCTATGCTACCAGAAGTACCCAGTATCCACGAGTACCGAAATACAGATGTTCCTCGCTTACGGACTTACCTGTTTTGCGACCACTCGCACTTACCTTACGACGGACCGCCGATCGACCTCCGACCTTGCGCGTCAACGTCAGTGGTGTCCTCCGATCTTCCCTGCGGGTCCAGGTAAGTATTTTCATTGCCCAATGTACAGTACACTGTTCGGTACTGTACATCGGCAACGCTATACAGTACTGTACCAATCCGTTTAACGACCTAGTCGTAGGAACGGAACTCGGTCGTTAAGTGAGGAATGCCTTTACACTGTATAAATATCGGTACTTGTACTGAAAAACTGGTATCGGCGCATTCCTAATAGATTTTTATATATATATACACACACACATACATACATACATATATATTGAGCAATTTCAATACAGTTATTAAAGTGTATGTCCAGCCAAAGCTTTTTTACAGTTTTGAGTGAAGAAGGTTTACAGTCATCGTCAAGTTTTATTGCTACTGGGCCCGCCATAAGAGATTTTCCCTGAGTTACTCTCATGGTAACAACTACACTATTTTTAATTTATCATGAATTTTAGTCCACTGGCCATGGTCTCCAGGGCCCCAGGACAAATAGAGAGGGTAATTTCCACCCCAGAGACATAGACAGCCCAGACAAAGTTTCTAACTGTTGCCTAATGATTCTTTTCAAAGCTAAAAAAATAAAATAAACGCTTTGGGTAGAGATACACTCGAATAATTTTAGAAACGCACACACAGCACTTACCTGATAAGACAGCAAACGCTTCCAGAGGTTGTAAAATTCTATCATGTTCAGGGTCCCAGATGCGCTGACCTGTCACATGAGTTAAGGCACAAAACCTTATAGATATGTTCTTAAACATGTACAGCTAATTGATTACTGAAAGATTATCATTACCAATGATTAATGGAGCGATCATAAATGGACCATAAATACCAGCCCTGTCCCGGGTGTCACCCAGTGGGACGTCATCATGCACCCATGTAATGACGCCACATCCACTCAACTGCCGGCAGCCATCCTGGTGATGGACGCCGGCAAAGAGATGAGGGGACATTCACAGGTATGCCACTGGGTACCCTCCTCTCTCATGCAGCTGTCGGGCTCTCTGTCCATGACCGGTGCTCGACTTTTCAGAGTGGGTGACACCAAAATGACTGTCAGTTGTTTTGGTGTCACTCCCTGATGGTATCAATAGAAAGTTACCCGCACTCCAGCTTGATACTAAGTCAATCTCATTATTGACTATAGTAGTGTCAAATTTTAAAGCGACGTTTTGGAACCGTGTGGTCACTTCTTCAGACACACAAAAACTTTTTGTGTGACTGAAGAAGTGACTACATGGTCCAAAAAACATCACTTTAAAATGTGACACTACTATAGTCAATAAAGAGATTGACTTAGTATCAAGCTGGAGTGCGAGTAACTTTCTATCAATTTCATGTAAATTGTAGAGGCATCTGCTGTCACAGCAGCACCCACCCGACCTCAGGGTTTCTCTCTGGTCAGGAGTGTGATGGGACAATCTTTGTATTGAACCCTCCTGATGGTGTCACCCCTCCCCCTTGTGACACCACTACCCCACTGCATGGGTATATTTTTTAAATTCCCAGATTTATTTATTTAATCGGCCATGATTCAGTGTAATGGGTTCCCCGGGCCCTGGGGCATCGTCAGGAGTTCACAAATCAAAACATTTTCGCAAATCGGAAAAAGATACGTCCAACTGAGCCATGATGACTTTGCAGGCGTCTGAGCTGAACTTCACCGGAGCTTGCTTTGCACCTACGAGAGAACGCACAGATCCACGTTACGGTTTTTGTCACAAACAAACGATTGTTAAATGAATCCGATGACATTAAAAAGTAACAAAAAATAAATAAAAGGGTCGTTAAAGGAAAAGAAGAAATTGTTGTCCGGGGATCTCACAATTAAATGTATCATGGATTGATGAACAGCTGTGCCGGGAGCAGGATTCGGGCCGCGGGAGACGTACGTTTGTTCATAAATTGAGATAATTAGCTATTATTGAATTGCTACAAAGCGGGATCAATTAAAGGAGCTACGACTTAATAAGTGCGTGGATACATTTGTGCTTTGATCAGTGTCTAGTGGCCACAAGGGACTCAGTCAGGGCTGTGTGAAAGCACGATGCAGCCGGCATGCTTGAATGATCATGCTCCATAGCAGGAGTGGGCAACTCCGGCCCTCCAGCTGTGCTTTAACTGCAAATCCCTACATGCCTCTGCCCTGTGGGAGTCATGCCTGTAACTGTCAGTATTGCAATGCCTCATGGGACCTGTAGTTCCACAACAGCTGGAGGGCTGTAGATGCCCACTCCTGCTCTACTGTATGCACCTATTTTGTGCGTAAATTTAACAAAGATAGCATGAGTCAAATAACAAAGTAACAAAGTCCAGTAACAAAGGTAGCATGAGTGGGGCTGAGTGACACCACGTGGTCTATATTTAAACAATACCGTTCACAGCTATTCATTGGATGAAGGGTCCTGCAAATATCTGTGAACATTTGTGTTGGGCGAATAATGCAAAAAGCAAATGTTCCTAATATAATCCCTCCCCCACACCCCCCCCAGTTTGAATGTAGTGCATTGTAATAATATGTTATGACCATTAGATGGTGCTGAGGAGCATAGAAAATAAGTATTAATTCCCTATGCTCCTCAGCACCATCTGGTGGTCATAATGTATTATTACAACAGACTATATTAAAAAATGTATTAGGAACATTCATTTTTGGCATTATTCACCCAAAACAAACATTTACAGTTATTTACAGGGCTCTGCAAATTGTTTATAAAAAGACCCCTATAAGTTGCATGGTGTCGCTGGTAACTGGCCAACAGTTTCCAGTGCTGTAAGAGGTCAAACATGGAGCTATCCATTTATCAAGGTACATGTTCTATAAAGCTGTTTAATGTTCTTATGGTAATTCCATGATGTTGGTAAGAAATATGGTAATTGAGTGAACTTCAACTTAAAAAATCCTTTGTAATATGACAGAAGTGTCTAGCAGTCTTATGTGATGTGAACAGAATCCCTAGCAGTTGCTTGTATTATGACAGCAAACTAAATATTCTGGATCAGGAAGCGATATCGCTTTTTTTTGCACACTTACTTGCCCAGCTTCCTTTGTTCAGCAGCATCTGCAGTTGGGAGACGTTGATTTCTGGGTGCTGGAAGAGGAAAATTACATTTTATTTGTACAAGCTTCTTAACAAAGTCAGCAACACCCTTCACAGTTGCTTTTACCTAGAAGCAGGGGTGTCCCTACACCTTTTGTGGTGCTGGTGGTACACATTACAAGCGGGTGCTGGCGTTG